AAATTCAAAGCAAAATTTTATATAACAAATAACATACCTGGTGCAACAGGGCCAGTGCATGGAACTGTACAAGAGCTGCCCTTGATTGAACAGCTTCTTGTACCTCATTGCTCCATCTTTTCACGATTTCTGGGTTTGTCTGTGAAAAGAAACATAGGCCAAGGAGAGTTAGGAAGATTCCACCAACAGAGCAAAAAATGAAAAAGGGTTCTTGAAACCTTACCTGAAGCAAATGGATTCCACTCACAAGGGCAGCACTTGCAACAACAGGGTTTTTGTCAACAATGGCTTGTTTCAAGTATCTCTCTATTTGGGTGAGAAGTGTCCCATCCGTGATTCTACAAAGGACACGAATAGCATTTGCCCGATACATATCAGTTCTGCTATTCATGTCTTTCATAAGAGAGCTCGTAACAATGATAACCTTTTGGAGGCAATGAAACCACATGTTAATTTCATTCATAGGAGGAGTGTAACCTTAAAAGAAAAAAAGAAGAAATTAGGTATCTAACCTCGTCTGCGGAGGGAGAAAGCTCTTTAATTATCAGATACACCATTCTCCTGAGACCAATATCCTTTGACTGAAAGAGTTTTGTGACAGAAAAGAATACTTCTGTAGCCTCAACCTACAAATTAAAACAACTTAAGTGGCAGTCTCACAGGAAGAGAGAGAGAGAGAGAATGTCATCAAAGTGACATAAAGAGATAAGATGGAACGACTGCTTACGTGGATTTCCCACGAAGGAGATTGTAATCTCGCTACTTCCCCTTTATGTCCTAAGGGGGAAGGACTAAGAATTCTCAATTATAGAAAAGACAGAAATATTTAGTTTGCTTCAGTTTGCAAATTCAAAATGGCAATAAGAAGAGCCTCTTTTCAAAGATCCATATCATGGACGTGACAGAAAATCTATATGGGCTAAAACAAGAATTTACAACACTAGCAAATGGCTCCAGGAATATTAAAAAGGAAACATTGTAGAGCAAAGAAATGGTATGGTTCTAAATTGGGGCACCGAGATGAAGTAAAGAAAGGAGAAACACTTCAAGGAAGGGAAATTCTCTTTGATCCATTGCACATATTGGTCTGTTGTTTGACTACATTCGATCAATTTGGCTAATCAACTTTAGTTTAAAGATGTACGCAATTTTCCCATATGACTAGCCAGATAAATAAATTCCAAAATTGTAACTGCTGATCATTGCATAATGTGAAAATAATTCACGACCATATCAGACTAGTGTCTGAATAGCAGCATTGAGATGCTTCCGAGATCATTAATCATTAACATGAAAAAACATATCATACTGACACACTATACGTAATGCATTACTGAAAATTACCCTTCACTTCAAGCAGACATGCAATAGCATGTGATATTATCCACTTCCTTGTTTTATTTTTTGACTAGGTAAAACACATGTGATATAACCTCCAGATAACAAGACATGATCAGCTAATACCAATTCTATGTAGGGTCACAAAAATCCGGATAAAAAAATTGTTTTCTGAGGTGCAAAGTGAAGTAGAATTCATGAAAAAAAAATAACCTTCATCGTGCAAGAACAACAGAATACGCATATGGAGGAGTTACTCACAATCAAGTATTATCCCCGCAAATGAAAATTCAGAACCTTTATACATTTTCTCATAAAATACAGTTGCTTTATTAAGATAGCCAACGTCACACATCTCTCTATTTCTTCAACGTTTCTCTATACTCTTTAAATGGTGGTTTGGGGCATTTAAATGGCAGCCTGGTGTACGAAGCACACTGCGTTCATGCAGGATTTCATGTGGTGTAGGCAGCCTACCCTAACACAAGCATTCATGGTTGATTCCACAGTTTGGGGCATTTAATTTGTAAAATGTCATTGTACAGTCGTGCCAAAAAAATAAAGGAATACATGTTTTACTGCCAAAACTAATAGCTCTAGAGCTAACCTTTGTAAACGCCTCGCCCTGATTCAGAAGATACAAAAGCTTTGTAATGACCTGAAGAACCGGAAAATAAAGGCAAGATGAACAAATTAGTCTAACCAGCTTGACATGCCACCAAAACAGAATGAGAGTTAATTTACTTTTGCACAGCATTTTTTATTTCAAAAAAATAGAACACCATACCTGAGAGCATCTTCTTGCATCCAATTGAGGATCATTGAAAACCCTAGCTTCCTGAAGAACAGCACCCTTCTCAATCCCCATAAACGGGGAATAGTCCACTGTATTGTCATAGAAATCCAACATGAAAATGTCAATTCATCACTCAAACACATATTAAATCCTACTTTAGATAGATCTGAGCAGAAAACGACTATTCTACAGTGTAAAACTACACAGTATAATCTGAGCAAACTAACTTCCCCAACATCATTCAAGCACACACACACCGCACCTCTTTTGGATCCTAAATTTAAATATACCGTATAGATATTTATCACTGAATTACGTATTTGCAGTATTGAGAATAGCTGTCAGAAGGAAATGAGAAAAAATAGCAAGTAACAAAAGCTATTTCACAAGTATTCCACTGTAATCAGACTCACTATCGTCCAGATTCACTTGAACACAAACAATCAACGAAGAATCTAATCCACAATGCAGATCTATACTCAGCCTCAATCGAAAATCACAAGCGAAAGCAACAATCCAATCAATTAAATGCAAAACCACCGACAAATTAACATGAGGAATGAAACAAAAGCTTGTGCTACAATTCAAATAAAAAACGTACTTTCGTCATCGCGATCGTCGTCCTTCTTCACCAAAGGCTGAGCCATTTCTGAGACGACAGCTGAGATCTGTAAGGATACAGATAAATAGAAGTGTAACCGAGTCGGATCGGAAAGTAATCGGAAAAAGGTGGGATCGGTTCGGTGAATGAAGAACACAAAGTGATTGAATATATTTATATTGGGTAGCAGCGAATCGAATTACAGATCTCTCGATCTCCCCTCGGACGTACAAGTTCAGTGAAGAGGGTTATATATAACTTATAAGGGTGAAATATTAAACCGGATCCGGTTTAACCGAAGACTATTTTACATTTACAGTTGAAGAAAACGGAGGTCAGTAACCAATGGGATGTGTACACGACATACCATGAAATAAATTTCCTTCGTTCGCTGAAAAAAAAAAAAGGAAAAAAGGAGTAGCTTATAATATACGGAAAATGGCCCAATATCTTTAAAATATGAGTAATATTTTTGAAAGTTAAAATTTCATTATGATAAGTTAAATATTTTGTAAGTTTTTCAAGTTTGAAAACTCATCTTCAAACAAATTAAAATTCATTTTGATATATATAATCAATAGTATTATGAAATCTTTTTTAAGAAAAGAAATAGTTTATAGTCAAACAAATCCTTGCAATCTCTCACCAAAGAATATATATGACCAAATAAATTTGAAATGTGTACTTTGAAGGTACTTTAACTTCAAAAAAGTTATCTAAGTAGCAAAGAATCAATTCTCAACCATGAAAGATTATGCTTGGATAACACCTTCTACAAATTCTATTTACTATTAGAATGAAATTGATGTATGAGAACAAAAACATTTCATGCTATTTCCCTAGTTGTTTGTAATTTATTTATTTTAGTGGAATCGTTTGACCATAAATATGATTGAAATTAGACACAACGAGTATTTTTAAACTTTGAAAAGATGATAGATAGTATTTGAAAGTGAATATCTACACATTTAAGGAATTATCTTTTTTCGTTATAACAAGATTAGTTATATATTCTAAGTTCGTCGAAAATTTAATTAAAATGCACGTCATCTTAAGTATGTACTAATATATTTCCATAGATATCTGGGCTCGGATAGTCGTGTTCATATTGATGAAAAGTCTAAAACAATTGTCATCATTTGTTTTTATTAAGATTAATATGTCTGAATTTAAACACACATCTAAATATTAAGATATTGTATTAAGATTTGAATACTAAATAACTTATATTATTATTTGCTCAACATCTTAATAATCAAACTTATCTTTATTTAAGAATTATACTTAAATAAATTAATTCTCTCTCTATATATGTGTGTGTGTGATGGGTGTCAAATGAGGATTGAATTGGGAGATGGTGGTGGTTGTTGATAGTAGCTAGTGATGGTATGGCTGATATTAGTAATTAATAGTGGTTGTTGATCGTGGTAATTGGTACTGTCAAGTAATTGTGGTGGATGATAGTGATAGTTAATGGCGTTGGTGAATGATGAAAGCGGATGACGTTATATAGTGGTGGTTGATAGTTGTAATAGCGAATTGTAATGGTGGTTGGTGGCAATGATTGTAAATGATGGCTAATGGTGGTGAATGGTGATGATTGATTGGGTTTATGACATCGATGGTGGTTGTGGATGATAGGTGATGGTTAACAGTGAAAGTGAATGGAGTTATGGTGAACTACCATGTTTTAGAAAACCCTTGGATAAACATTTTAATGATATTAAGACTTTGTTATGGATTTTAATCATTTGAATCTATTCATACCCATTAATGGTTGTAAAATGTTTAAAACAAATTACACGCTTAATGAAATATTGTATGAATAATAAGATTCATATCTAAAAATCAAACATACTTAATGACTTGAGATTTGAATTAAATTATCTTCATTCATGGCAAACAATGAGACTATATGAGCAATAGGGGTTGATGCTTGCCTAGAAAATATCAATTACACATCCAAAAAAAACTAATTAAACAGTATAACACCAACGAATTTGCATTGTGCGAACTAAATGCACATCAATTATTTCTCCAATTTTAACAAAATTTGATGACTAACTCATGAAGAATTCAAACATAAAATTGCAATCACCTAAGTTTCATGATAGAAGAATATTATTATTCCACCAAGAGACCAAACTTAAGTACCTAAATCATCTTTGCGAATTGCGATTAAGTTCAATTGGTCAATGATTGTGTGTTGTATCTACAATTTAATAATTATACATAAATAAATACAATTTATAATTATATGGAGAATTGAAGTAACCACCCTTTTTTCTGTCAAGAGCAATAATTTTGATTAAGGACTATATTGTTTACTTCTTGTTTTGACGAAATTCACGAGATTCACCGTTCTCACTGCTTGAGTATTCTTGACTCGACATGCTGGATTTTCTGAATTTCTTTAAATCATATGAACCTCCATCTGGTTCAGAACTTCCAGAACTGAGAGTTGCACTGTGACCCAATTTTCCTCCCTCATTCAAATCGTCCAAGGTAACATCATCTTCTAAAGCACGTACAACCTAATAATATGTAAAGTGATTCATTAATTAGTATTTTTCAACGATATCATTAGATTACCTATTTATATTTCAAAGGAATAGTAATATAATCACAATAAAAACAACTAAGAAAAGTTGCACCAAAATAAAACATTACTTCAAATTTACTCACCAAAAAAAATATAGTAACGGTTAAGAAAAATCAAGAGATAAACTAACCTGGCTCATTTTTGGACGTCTTTTTGCAGAATGTCTGATTGTTGCAGCAGCACATGCCACCATACATAACATTTGTTGGGCATCAAAGTTTCCCTCTAAGCGTGGATCTATTAATTCATCATAATTTCCGCCTTCTGTTGCACGAATTAAAATAGGTCTTGCCTGCATATAAACCGGTAGCATAAATTAAAACATGTCACGTGAAAAATTGAATAAATTAAAACGGAGGGGTACATACCCATTCAACTAAAGTATCGTCGTCACCATCCATGTCAATTGGACGACGTCCAGTTATAAGTTCCAAAAGCATAACTCCGTATGAATAAACATCAGACTTTTCAGTTAGCTTTCCGCTTGAAGCATACTCTGGTGCTAAGTACCTATTAATCAATACATACAAATAATTACACTTCAATTATTTCATTCTAATTGAACGTAATACATTACTTTCAAAATTTTAAAAAATTAGGTACACATTTCAAGAAAATACTAGCATTAAAACAGTAGAAGATAAAACTGGAACGGAGATCTTGTGGTTGATTTATAATATGATCACTCAATTAATAGAAATCAACTCAAAAATTTTATAAACGCTAACATAGAAAAATAAAATAAATTAAAGATGTTATTTTTAAAAAATATTTTAAAATATGCTCACCCAAAAGTTCCCATGATACGGGTGGATACATGAGTATGGTTGTCAGATGAGAGCTTAGCTAGTCCAAAATCAGCCACCTAATAAAAATATTGTAAGAATCAAGATATTGATTTTTTCTGAATCTAAGTGAAATTAAAATTCCTCATATAATTGGTATTTTTATAACATAGAAATACCTTTGCTTCAAAATTTTCGTCCAATAGGATATTTGCAGTTTTGATGTCTCTATGGATAATTTTAGGGTGACCTATAATTTATACAAAAAAAGAACAAAAACACTTAGATATGAAAATACACGTATATAATATAAGTCAAATAGTGAAAAAAAACAATAAAAAAAATTCAAAACTTACAATCTTCATGAAGATAAGCAAAACCTTTGGCAGCTCCTAATGCAATTCTGTGTCTTGTATTGAAATCCATAGGAGGACGACCAGATCCTAAATGAATTCAACAAACAAAATATGAGATAAACTCCAAACACCAAATAACAAAAGTTATTTTTCAAAAAATGCCAAGTATAATGATAAATATATATATATATATATATATTTATTTATTTATTTTTAATTTGATATGTTATATAAACCCATAACAATAATAATAAAATTTATTAGGTACTAAAATCTTTTAAATAATAAATAAAACTTGGTAAAAATTGGACGTATTGGGTTATGATCCGTTTTGACTCAAGCTAATTTTGGTTTGTTGTCTTAATCTGTTTTAACTCAACTCGCCCAATTATTACGCTAGTCAAAATGACTTTAAATCTTGTGGTCTTTAAAGAGTTGTCAAAAAAGAAGAAGGAAATAAACAAACTTTTTTTAAGGGATCACAAACATATTAAAAGAGAGTGAGTAACATGTTTGAAAATAAAATATATACATACCATGAAGGTGATCTTCAAGAGTGCTATTAGCAACAAATTCATAGACCAACATCCTTTGAGATCCAGCAATGCAATACCCAACCAAAGACACAAGATGTCGATGATGTACACGACTAATAATTTCAACTTCTGCTTGAAACTCTCTTTCTCCTTGTCCACTATTAGATTTCAAACTTTTTACAGCAACTTCTTTACCATTAGGCAACACTCCTTTATGTACATATCCAAAACCACCTTGTCCCAATAGTTTGTCTTTAGTAAATCCTCCAGTTGCAACTGCTAAGTCATCATAAGTGAAACTACTTTGATTATAACCAAGAGCCATTGCTGGATGTGGAGGTGGTTGAGCAGGTTGATGTGGACCAGAGAAAGCCGCCGAGCTCATTTCACTACTACTCATCATCGGTGGTGGTGGTGGTGGTGCTATTGGCCAACTATGCTCTGAACTTACTTGACCACTCCCTGCTAATCGCGAAAACATGAATTTTATTATGGATGTTCAAAATTTAATATATACATATAAACATGATTGCGTACCTGGAGGAGGCATCTTGTGAAATTGGTCAGTTGATTGAAGTTTGTTGTTAGTCTGCCAATTGTTCGTATGTTGTCCAGTGTTGTTATAGTAATGATTATCTGTAAAATACATAATGCAGGACTGAGTCATCCCGAAGGACTCGAGGCATGATATTGTAGCACAAGCTTTCTCAAAAGAGTGATTGTCTAATCAAGGGTGACATTATATTGTGGATGGACATGCCTATAAACCAAATAGGTATACTTTCACTTCTTCTTTTCTAATGTAATATATTATGTCAAAATTAAAGCATATGATAAAATAAGAAAATAAAGATAAGAAGTATACTCATGGCTCCATGAGAATTGTCTCTGTAGTAGCCCATTTGATCATGCTTTCTTTTCTTTTTCCGCTTACAACAAGAGATGAGGAAAACTAGCATGACAAGAAATAATAATCCTGCTCCAGCTGCGACTCCGATCCTGAGTGCTGCTTTGTTATCCTTACTGTCTGACTTTGCTGATTGAGGCTTTGGAGGGGCAAGAGGTCTAGAGTTTGGAGAAAAATGTGATGGTGGAGAAAATGGAGGAGGAGGAGGAGGAGATGATCCTCCTTTTGATGAGTCTGATGATTTTGGTGGAGAACGTGACTTGTTATCGTTGTTATTGTTATTATTACTGTTGTTGTCATCGTCGTTGTCGTTGTTACTGTTGTTGTTGTTACCATTGTTGTTGTTATCATTTGAAGAAGAGTTATTATCTTTTCCAGATGACGAATTATTGTTATTAGAAGGAGAAGATTGAGAGTTTGAATTATTATTGTTATTGTTATTATTGTTGTTGCTGTTATTGTTATTATTTGAAGAAGAGGAGCTATTATCTTTTCCAGAGGATGAATCGTTGTTCGAAGGGGGAGATTGAGAGTTTGAATTATTGCTATTGTTGTTACTATTATTATTATTATTATTACTATTACCATTAGAAGAAGAGCTATTATCTTTTCCAGATGATGAATTGTTATTTGAATTATTTGGTGGAGATGATGATGAATTTGATGATGGAGAGTCCCCATTCGATGACGAAGACATTTTTATAAAAGTCTTTGTCACGATCTGCGTTAGAATAAGTTACGCAGGTTCCGCCGATCTCCCAAGTATTGATTCCTGTTCATTAAAGATCCAAACAAATTTTACTTTTCCTATCCGAAAATTCACAAAAAATATTCAATAAAATAACAAGAAAACATGAAACTAAATCACAATCAATGATCTCATTATTGAAACATTATCATTTATTTCATAACGAAGAGAAAATTATTACCATACGGAATCAATACTTCATATAATTATTTCGTAAATGATATCAGAAGCCTTAATCTTAGAAAAGTAAAGATTAAAAAGATGAAACTGTAAAGATGAAAATACAAACTCAGGAGAAAAGAAATATGATACCTTTAGGAGAAAGGCAGTGAGGAATCTCAAAGAAAGAAAAGTAAAAACATGTTGCATAATAATAAAATTTACCATGAAATTAAGAGATGTTTTTTCATCCTCATACTCCTCCTAAAATAAGGGAACTAATCACTACATTTAAAGAAAAATCACTACATTTAGTTAATGCTTATTTTATTACTCCTAATAAATTAAAGGACTGAATTTATGGAGAAAAAACTTGTATATGATTTAAATAGTTTTTTCTAAACATTTTATTTGTCAAATTAAACGAATAATTATGTTTTCACTTTTTTGATTATATAATTTGATTAATCTAGTTTGATGTCAGCAATTTACCCAAACAATTAGTTAGTGCTTTTGAAGTATGAATTATTTTGTGTGCGCGCCATTCTACGTTTGACCACACATATGACCTTTTTTTCCACTTCTTGCGCTTTACTGTTTCATGTAAAATGTCAACCGCATAATTAACTTATAAAAAGAAATTCCAAAGTAGTTTGGTTATTTTTGACATTTATAAGCTGAAAATAAATTCTACCTAAAGCGTTTAATCATAGAATAAAAATAATTAAAAAATTAATTAAGATGTGTTATCAATGTTATCATCCAGCGCTGGGGGCTTAGAAGTTGCCATTACAAAAAATCTATTAATTTCTTAATTTTGTTATTAGCAAAAGGAAGAAAGACTTGAGTACATTTATTGCAGCATACAAAAATAAAAAGAATAAATATTTATGATTATAAACTTTCAAATACATATAATTTTATAAAAATTGATCACTTGTTAATATTAACAGTAACTAATTATTTTTAACATAATATTTTTACATGGTACGAATATTATCTTCATGTCAAACATGAATCTTTTTCTCGTAGAAATAAGTGATGAGATTTTCTTTTATTTTTTATTTTACAAAATATAAATTATGAGTTAATTTTTACATTTTTAAAAATTTTGAAATCATGATTTGAAATCTCAAATCATACTTTTGGAAAAGTTGAGATTTGAAATCATGATCCCAAATTACACTAGCACTTGGCCATAGATTTCCAAATATTCTTGGCAAATATTATTTTGGTGAAAATTTGGGTGAAATTTCACCATGTAACGGCCATAGTATTTGGGAAATATATTTCACTTTTTTAGAAAAATATGATTTATACCCATAAGTTTTAAAAACTATCAATACTAACCATAAGTTTGTATTACAAGTCAATTGGATCTTCGTTGCAACAAATAACAAGTAGTGTCCATGACACTAGAGCAATGTGATAGTTTGGAGTGAGTGCAACAAATATCATTACATACATCGTGAAGTAGACAAAACACATGACTTTGTTACCATGAGCCGATTGTTCATCATTTTCATCAACAACCATATCATCACTTTCATATTCACTGAAAATTTCATCACTACTTTGGTGTTTACGTAAAAAATTATGTAATACAACGCAAACAACTACTATAGAGGGTGTTTTTGTAAAAAATAAAAGTTTGGTGTAAAATTTCAATTTTCAAAAGATCCCAAATAACGAGATTTGGCCCAAATACTAGTGTATTTGAGAATTTGGAATATTTGCCAAATAATAACAAATTGTATGGACAAACACTATTTGCTAAATTTTCCCCCAAATATTATTTGGAAAATCTATGGCCAAACGAGCCCTACATGTGACTTCAGTACAAAAATAATATTTCCAAATTCGAATAGTGATAAGTGAGAACCAAATTGGGGCCAACCCGACCCGGGCAGGCGGAGAAAGGTTAGTTGACTGTTTAGTGCCCAGCTAAAGTATAATCCATTTCAATACTACGGAGTACTATACAACAACTGGGCAATCATTTTTCTACTAGAAACGTCTCAAATTGCCAACTGTCTCTGCTCCTCACGCCACACACGGAGAGACAAACACGCGCGGAGCTCTCTGTATTCAGTCTCTTCTCGTCAGATCGAGTCAGCTGAAGATGCCTTCTCGCCGGCGAACGCTTTTGAAAGTCATCATCCTCGGCGACAGTGGGTCAGTTCTCACCGTATTTGTCAATATAGATACTAAATATATTACTGTACAACTCTCTTCTGTTCTGTACTGTTTTAGGGTTCAGTTACTCATGATTCATCGCTGTTCATGTTCATTTTGCTTGGCCTGTTAACGGATTGATTTTATAATTGAATTTGAGTGTTCCATTACGGTGATCTGGGATTGGGATAGAACGGAATGATTAGAGACGATTCGTGCATACAGTAGGGTCTAACTAGTTGGCAATTGAGGCGTTGTTGATTTGATTATTTGACTTTTCGTGATCTAAGTTCAAGCAGTTGCTTAATTTTCAGTATTTGCCCATTAATCACCCCTCTTTGTGTTTTGCAGGGTTGGAAAGACTTCGTTGATGAATCAGTATCCTTTAAAGCTTTGTAACCTAGTATTGCTCGATTAATCACCAGTCCAAGAGTATTGTGAAAAAACAGCTTGATTCACTTTCCAGATGCAATTATACCTTATAATTGAATTGCCTTATTGTCTGCCTTAAATGATTCTTTATAGATATGTAAATAAGAAGTTCAGCAATCAGTACAAAGCAACTATTGGAGCTGATTTCTTGACAAAGGAAGTGCAGTTTGAGGATCGGCTCTTTACTCTACAGGTTAGTTAGATAGCGTCTCATTGATGTGTATTAGTGTATGAAATCAACCAACCTGATTTTCCTGTATCAAATTGTCAATTCTAGGTTTGCTATATTACTTATTTCATCTGTGATTCCTCGTAACAACTAGAGAGATGGAGGGGGTTTTCCTCTGATTCACGTATGAAGACAAACTACCACACAAGTTATCTGAGAATAATGACAAATTGAACTATACTTTAGTGTCATGCTGTTGATTGTGTAATTGTGTTTATGAGGGGTTGCAACACTCGGTTTGTTAATTGCAGCCCATCACTTCCTTTGCTTTAAATTTTGTTCCTTTTCTTTTATGGGTTGAAATGTTCAGTGTGTTTGTTGGAGTTTGGACATGTTTTTCTCTTTCAAGTATACGAGAATCATCTTTAGCCATCTTCATTAAGAAGCAACTAAATGGGAGGAAAAGAAAAAAAGTCAGGATAAGGGAGGTCCATTGATGACTTTGTAAATGGCATGCTAGAGTGATTGTCTAAATTCTCTTAGCCAAAAAAGAGGATGCATGTGAGTCGAATGTCAGTTTCTTATGGAAGATTAGGACTGATTTATCTCTGAAATATGTGTAGGTATATCAATGTCTCCAATACACGTGCGGGGAAAATTCTCATATGGGAGATTCTCTGTACTTTGAATGAATAACTGTGGCTATAATCCATACTAAGCTGCTTTCTGAATTAAGGCATTTGTTTTGGATATAAGAAGATAGAAGTAATTTACATGCATTGATCTCCTAGAAATACTCTGTGCATGATGATATTTTTATTAATTGTATCAAGCGAAATAAACTTTTCAGCTTTGTCACCCTTCTGCTCTTTTAGTTTGAGTTTTGTGGCTTATATGGTGATAATTAGGTAGATTCATACATGTGTTAGTAATCAAGGAGAAGAAACTCATGCTGCATCTTCACTCCCAGTATGTTTTCCTCATTCAGAATCTTAAAGTATAGTTCAGCTTCCTTGACCCCCTCCTCCAGAATTTAAAAAGGAAAAACAATATTTAATTTACAGTTGCTTACCTCTTTTTCCTAGTTATTCCTGTCTTTGTCCTTTGGTTTGGTTCAATTCTATCTGTGGATCCAATGCAATGAAAAGGATAGATATGCATTGCCTTGCAGATATCTTTTTGGTTTTTCAAAATATCCAATCTAGAGAACTCATGGTGCATCCAATTCACTTCTCACTTGGTCAAGACTTCCATCTCTCTCTCAAATTTACTCTTTGGTTCTTATAAGTTTGATATCTAGAAACATGCTCTATCGTTTTTCAGCTTGAAAATGATGTCGTAATTCCAAACATCTGCATGTATTAGGTTTGGTATTGGGGAGAGGTAGTTGGTGGTTGTATTACCAGTTTTAATGTTTTACTCATGGATATTTCAACCTGGCCCGTTTCCTGCTCTAACTTTGATATTTCTGGTTGTCCAGATTTGGGACACTGCTGGCCAAGAGAGATTTCAGAGTCTTGGTGTTGCTTTCTACCGCGGTGCTGATTGTTGTGTCCTTGTTTATGATGTAAATTCAATGAAGTCATTTGAAAACTTGAACAACTGGAGAGAAGAGTTCTTAATTCAGGTATTTCTTCTTTATTTGCCTCTGATTGTTTACCCTGTACTTCTTCTTTATTTCCCTCTGATTATTTACCCGTTACTTCTTCTTTATTTGATTCTATTGTTATCAATTCACATTATTAACTATTTATAGGCTTATAGCCCTATTTTGCTTCTGGCTTAGATGAAGGCTTTATGAGCTTTTCCCTCTTGGAGCTTGTTATGTTTCATCTTTCTTGAGTTGCTAATCCAGTGCTCCTCCCTTTTGTTATAGCCACTTTTATTTGTTGGTGCCACCATTTACTTGTTTTGATCTTTCTGCATAGGATCTCACATACAGATTGTTGTTAAAAATGATAAAATTAGTTGTTTGGTATCTTCACCTGACACTATTTTTTCTTGTTGAACAACTACTCTGTAATCTCCGAATGAATTTTCTGCAGGCAAGCCCATCTGATCCAGAAAACTTTCCATTTGTCGTGCTGGGGAACAAAGTTGATGTTGATGGTGGAAATAGTAGAGTGGTAAGTTCCTGGTCCAACAAATTGTACATTGTCCCAATTCTTCCTCTTTGTGCTCCCTTGTCTGTTGCTCTCACCTGTTCACTTCTTTGGTAAGCTGCCTATAGGACTACTATCGTTTCATACAGAGAACAACTTTGCTTCCATAGAGGTATTTTATTCTTTTTCTTCACTTAAAGATACTTGTCTGCTCTGTTTTAGGTGTCTGAGAAAAAGGCTCGGGCCTGGTGCGCTTCAAAGGGTAACATTCCCTACTTTGAAACTTCAGCTAAGGAAGGAACCAACGTAGAGGAGGCTTTCCAATGCATTGCTAAGAATGCCCTGAAGAGTGGAGAGGAGGAAGAAATGTAAGTTGAAACATTATTTATACCAATTGTTGTCCATAAGATTCTAGCAGCATGGTGCACACAAAAATATTTATCTTCCCAAAAAAGTGTCACGTGATCACGTCAGTTGGACGGGGAATGAGGGATGTCAAAATGTGGGCGAGTAATTTTGTAGGATCTATTTGTCTTGGCGCAGCTGCTTGGCAAGCCGTATAAGCCTGTGCCTTCTGATCGATTCTGGTTTACATAATTGTTTTCTCTGGTCCCATATCTTTCCTCTGGTGTTTTCCCAAAGTAATTAGATTATCAATTTTGTTAGGCTAAACTGTTTGTGGGCAAGCGATGTTAACATGCAAACAGGGGATATTATGAGCTGTGCAAGATTAATACCGTGACTATAAATTGTTTCAGTACTAGATATTTATTACTTTTATACCATGATACTGATCTATTTCTTTTTTCTGCCGCAACTTTTTTATGGTAAAGATATTTGCCCGACACCATTGATGTTGCCGCTAGCAGTCAGCAGAGGACAGGTGGATGTGAGTGTTAAACAGTTAACAATTTTCGAAGTGATGATAAACCTTGCAGCTCCAAAAAAAATTGGATTCCTTTAGCCCTCGCTTTATTGTTTGCTTCTCATGGTCTTCTTTTCCTGGTAAATTCTCAAGTTGTACCTGTATATGCTTTTGCACGGGGATCTTGGTGGTTTCTTGGTGCTTGAATTCTATTGGTGCTACTTTCACTTTGATAAAACTTCAAGATTTGTTGCATTCGTATTCACCTCTCTGGTGAAAGCTCTTGCTTTACAATAATCTTTTCAGTTGATCTGTTTTACCTCACAAATCATGTGCTTCAGATACCCCTATATGTTGTACAAATGATGAAAATTGTAAGGCGTTTGAACAATTCTTGTACGACTGTGCTAAGAAATAGTTTAGGACTATATACAAAGGGTTAATCAAAATCACAATTCAGAATCGCCTATCAAATATACTATGCCAATTAAAAGAGTTGAACTAGAGAGCATTGTGGCTCGAGTGCGTAAAGATGCAACGAATGTGCTCACAAATCAATAAATTGATGCATGGCATAAATGTTTTCCTCGCTTAATCATGATAAATTGATACATATTTGCCTCGTTGGGACACTTGGCCATTGTTAGCTAATATAATTTGATGTCACCACAAAATGCAAATACAAATAATTTTTTACCAAGATTGCTGCCTCTAGAAAACTAATGAAAAGTGCAGGCGACAAATGATGTTAGAAACCAACCGTGTTCTGAGAAAAGATCTCAAAATTTTAATCTTCCTTTGATATACATTTATTTCCTCATGATTTTACGATATGATCTTACAGAACTAGTTACTCAAATATATTTGTGCAAGAAAACATTGATTTAAAACTATTCTGCAAAAGCAGAACATTCAACGAAACACCCACAAATGTCATCACAATTTTATGACTGTTATTTATTCAAAAGAAGATACAACAGTGAATAAAACATGTCAATTAATAAAGAAAGGAGTACAAAACATTCAGAAAAAAGAACAGTAACAATGACAAAATAATGCGGTAAGTGAAAGCCTAATCCCGACACTACCAAGACTACCTATATATCAGAAGCAAGAAACTACCGATATAAGCTCATACTACAAACACGATACTACCAAGATTCTGTCAAAGCCTAATCCCGCCAAAAAGCGAGACAAAGCTCAACTACCTACTAACTTTCTACCCTAATCCATGACTTTCTATCTAAAGTCATGCCCTCAGTAAGCTGAAACTATGTCATGTCTAATCATATCTCCCCGATACCTTTTCAACCTACCTCTACCTCTCCTTATACCCACTATATCCAATCTCACACTTCCTCACTGGGGCAACTATGCATCTCCTCATACTCTCAAAATTCTAATAATCGGTCCCAGAATCCTTCTAATACAGAACAAAACATGTATTAGCTAGCCTAATCCTTTCAGCATACATACAAAAAGAGAATTTGGACAATTAACTTCTGCTGTTTAAGAAGTTTATAACTTAATGACCCAGGACAACAGTCATGAAAGGGTAAACACAGTCACATGACAAATAAATATTTGAAGACCGTTTCTTTGCTCTTTTGATTTATAGATGAGTTCACTCTTATGCACTAGAGAAAATATTACTTAGTCCTAACTAAAATAAGCTTATCCTACTTTGAAGGCTGCATTGAATTTCCTGAAACTGTTGTAGGCATAAAAGAGCTTGGTGTAGGAGTTCCTGCCATTATGGGTCTTGAATACGGTATCCTCTGGGAGCTCATTGCATTTAGAAGCCTGGGTGCTGTATTAGCAAAAACCATTCCAGGCCGGTTAGCAGGTACTGATTGTGGCACAGGATGAGTTACAGATCTTGATTTAAGTATTTGACTACGCTCAAGGAGAAGCCTCTGTTTTGACCTCTCCAACAGTTCTCTGACCCTCATAACCACATTATCCATGTCATGAAAGAAGGTTATCTTGCTCTCCAGCTTGTTTAACTGCAAAGAAGCAACTTGAATGGTTGAGACTTGGTGAAACAGATTAAGGCTAAGAAAGTCAGATTTTGATCAGTTTAAAATCAAGCCAGCAGAAACCTGGGAGAATATGGTCAGAACTTAACCAGACAAGTCCTAACTCAATGATTGAACTCGGGTTAGGATTCTTCCAATGTAAAGCAATATAAGCATTCAACCAAAGAAAGGAAAATATAGGAGGTATTTCCCAAGAGGTAAGGAGATGGTCTAATACTCATCTATATGACACTATAATTTTTTCTGTTCTAAAAGGAAGACGAGCATTTTCTGCTCCAAGTGGAAAAAAGCTTATCATCCCTCTCTTAATCACAAACAAATCACCCAGATCTGTTTTGATAGCTCAAGATCTATTTCAGTCTAAATCTTGCATTAAAGCTCATTAGCTGATCAGTCTCAAATTTTGACTGAAAGCATCCCCCAGCAGAAGTGAGTGAAAGCCTTGAAGCTGTTGGATGATTCCCATAGAACATAATAAGGAGCCTCAAAGATGCAATTTTCAAAGAGCTGGCGGGCCATGATTACCTGCTTCTCTATTAATGATGTAGTAAGCAGCCGAATTTGGTCCTCTTCTTGATCTGCCAGATATTTCGCCTTGACTGCAGCAGCTGTCAAAGCAGTGACTGCGGCACATTTGATCTTATCAATATCCAGATCATTTTTGGTCTTCAAAGGATCTTTTCTCCCATCTACAGAGTCTTTGACTTCTCCAGCCCCTGAGCAATAGAGCACCAAGGGAAAAATCAGAATTATAGGGGATTTACAAATTCTTAAAAGCCTCAGTTTAGTTCAGAGGGAAGAATATGAATCAGTTTTCCGCTTTGGCTAAGCAACCATAAAGAGAACCACAGTTTTAGACCCGAGGCCATAGCAATGGCACTAAACGAAAATTTAAGATCCAATTTGGTCTTTGCAACATTTCACCCTTAAGGGTAAAACTGTTTTAATGGCTGCCCTACTTGATCAACTTAGTCTATCATTTGCCTTTCCAGCTCCATCAATCCATCAACTCACTACAGTCCCTCCCCTCCTCCTCCTCCCCAAACCTTGGATCTCATTTCTTGAACTCCTGAAATTCTTATCCCAATCTCACATAGAACCCGTTTGTCCTCCCAATCCCACACCCTCTTCTGTGTTAGTTCAACTTATTTTCATTTCAAGGTCAACATATATCTCCTCTCTATTTTCCTCTACCTGAAGATTCTTTATCAATGATTCACAAGAGGGGACTATGTGTGCGTATACACTAACCATTTCATTTATCTGATGCTAGGCCTAGAAATGTCGAGTAATCCAGCAACTCACTACAAACCCCCTCCTCCCCAGCCTTGCATCTCCTTTCTTGAACTCCTGAAATTCCTATACCAATACCACATAGGACCTGCTTGTCCTCCCAATTCCGTGCCCCCTCCTGTGTTAGTTTAAACTTATTTTCATTTCAAGGTCAACTTATTTCTCTTTTCTCTCTATCTGCCTCTACATATGATGTCGGGGACTATGTATTTGCACACTCTCCATAACAATTTATATGATGCTAGATCCTAGAGAAAGAAAGGTGTCATTGTATATGCCACTTTTTGATTGGGTATGTAGTTTAAGATGATAATTTAACTTGAGTGTTATAGTAGTAGAAGTAAGCAATAAGGTAAGATAGGTTGGATTAAAGGAATTTACCAAGGTCTAAAATTAGAATAGTAAATAACTTCTAATTCTTAAAGTCACAAAAGTTGTACTGTTTAATAATGGCATGGTGTTAAACACTTAAGACATACCTAAGTGAAAAGAGAACTTGTATGTATGATATTTAACATGAAACCGACACGGTATCAGAGGAGGGATTCTATATCACCCAAAATAAATGCAGCAACCATCATTTCAACTTTCTGCAGTTATTTGTGTTTGGGGAGAGGGGTGGCAGGGCAAAATGTATGAATAAGGGGCATATGAGAGTTTAGAGAGGTGGGAGAAAAGAGGAATTAAAGGACTAGTGCACTGTGAGGCGAAATAGGAAAGCAAAGGGTGCTAGAATAAACTTCAGTGGTGTTTCTAATTTGAAGATCTGGATTTTGGTGTAAGAACTAAAGCACTGTCACATTATCAATTACAAAGTCAACAATCTGGTGGTAGTCAACAGCTACATGCCACTGACCAAAGACTCAAAGGATGCTTTCTGATTCTCTTAGTTGAAACATTATTTTATAAAATCAATAGATTGATGATTTCCTCACCAATGCATATCATGCAGATTTTTTTTTTTTTTGGGGGGGGGGGGGATAATTAATTGATGTCATCTGTTTTTCCTATCCTTGTCGAGCATGTTATGAGATTTAATTCCAATAATCATATCCCACTCCTTTGTTGTGCTTGCACCCCATGATTAGCGAACTTCTATTTTAACTGAGAAATCTGTGAAGCATTGAATTCGACGGAATATGGACCTTCCCTCTACTCTTCTACACTTAAGTACCACTAGAATTTAAACTCGTTGCATGCACCTACACACTTCCTGTGCAATACTACCTTCCCCACTTAAACACCCCAAAGGCAACATGATTGGCATAACTTATACTATGCAAAAAACATAACACCATATTGAAGACTTGGACCTGTATTTTCGCCATTTTCAAGTACAGAGTTCGATTTCATGGATTGCTCAGGCTCCTTTGTTTGCACAGCAGGCATCATGTCCTCATCTTTAGGAGTATCTGGAGAGTCAGAAGGAATGGCTGTTAAAGCTCCATCAACTGACTCCTTTTCGAACCCGGGTGGGAGCTCTAGTTTAGACGTTAAAACATCTGATTCTGCTGTGGTACTTGGTGTCTGTCCCACTGCCAAGCCTGCATCATCTGATTCTTTAAGTGATGCAGGTTCCCCTTCTTTTTCAGTAGGAATTGGATCAGATTGTTTTGAAGTATCAGATTTCTCTGGATTTTCGTCACTGGTAGAAACCAAATGGGCCGCTTCTTCAAGTTCCTTCTCATTTTTCTCTCCATGGTTTTCACCATCCTGCTCTTCGCACTTTTTGTCAATGTTTGTTTCACCTTTGGTCTCTTCTTGTCCAATTGACGAACTCTTCTCTTCAATAACTGATGTCAACTTTTCCTCTTTCTGCATTTCAACATTGTCATCCTCATCTTTCTTATCTTCTGGATCAACTGATCCATTAGCAGGTCTGCAATACTAAATTTACAATTAGACTCCAAATTAATACAATACCTGTTAATTAAAGCTAAAAGGAGGAACACTAACCGATCTGTATCAGATGATGTCTTCCCATCATCTGGTGGATCTTCCAACACAAAACAGTGCCTTAAGGCTAGATTCTCACCAGAAGGATTACCAGAAATGGATTTCAAAGAGCTGCGCACTGAGGCAGTAACCCTTTTAGCTTCTACCAGTTTCACCAGGAACGCTGCCTAGCGAAAGAAAACATCATAATGAAGACAACCAAAACATTTTCAGTAATCACTTATTTTAATAAACAATAATCAGAGTTTTAACAGCAGAATAGAAAACCAAAATGATACTACTTGAGACTTCCTCTTTTCTAAAAAAAATCGGTAAAGCGTAGCTTTTTATAGTAAGATCATCAAGAAGAAGTTGCTGGATAGGTTACAACTTACAACCAAAAGCACCCCATTACAAATTGTGTAATATGCTAATGATGTCAATCACAGCACTAGGGTCAGAAGCATGTACATCTTCCATGTTACACTAAAAACTAAGCAAAACAATACATTTGTGTTTGGTATTAATGACTGTTCTTCCTACTTTCAAACAACCTGTCATTTCTTTCTTTCCTGACAAACAATTGCCTCTTTTGAACACGATTAAAATATCTCATTGAAACTGCAGTGCTATAATGAAACCCTATCCTTTTCAAAACAAGGTCTCAGCCTGTGAAAATGGTGAGAAAAGACTACCACTGGCAGAAAGATCATACCTTGATCAAGTAAATAACACAAATTAAGAAAAAACTGATTTCATTATTCAGGCTTCAGGGAAAAGTATGAACAGATTCCTAGCTCTTAGTAGAGTGCCTTTAGTGCTCAGTTGCATCAGAATGATTGAGCCAATGAAAAGTAAAAGAAATCAGCATACCACTGCCATTACAGGATTGCCAGCTTCAGCAAATGAAGCACATTCTCCAGGTGGAGGATAAAAACCAGCAGCTGTAAATGCCTCCCTCAGTGCGTTGAGTGCACAGTTCTCACCAACTTCCTCCTGAGGAATTGGCCCATTCACATTCTCTGGCTTTGATGTTTCCACTGTGGGTGAAACCTGATTGTCATTTCCATCATCCTTACTCTCTGCTGTTTCTGGGGCATCAATACTGGCTGATGTATCATCTTTAGACAAATCTGCATCTTCTTTTTCTTTAACACACTGGTTATTTTCAGCATCAGTATCCAGGAATGTATCCTCTATTGGCATTTCAATGAAGTGAAGAATACACTGAGCTTTGGTCTTTGTAGCCACATGCTCAGCAATCTCATTCCAGTTTTCCTTATAAAGCTCTAATGCCTCAAGGAGAAGAAGAGTCTCCTGATCTGTCCACTTCCCACCACTTGCACCGCCAGACTCACCAGGCTCCATAACAATGAAATCTGAAGGGGACATACCAGATCCAAACTTCCCATTGTTGAAGCATTCACTACACAAGTCAAAGTCTGCCTATGTAGTAAAAACAACCAACACAAAGAACAGAGTCAGGCACTTAAGTAAGACGTCAAGTTTTGACAAGACCTACTTCAACAGTGAAAATGACCTTTTAATATGTACGTGCACAGAAATTATGGACCATACGACTTAAGGATATGTGAACATGGACAACTGCAGAAAGAGTTTGAGAACGAGAATGATAAGCAACTAAATCTACTGGGTTGGCTCAAGCATGCGCCTTTTATGCCCAGAAGGAAATAAAGTGTTGTTCTGAATCACATTCTTTGATCAGCAACAAGTATATGAATTAACCAAGATGATGATCCCTTCATCTAAATAATAACATGAATAAAAAGAAAACACTGGTGGTGATGCCCTAGACAGTAGGCAAGCCGTAATCATATCTTATCTCATTACCCCAAAAACAAAGAAAGGACATTAATGTTGAGCAAAGATACCTCCTTTTGGCAATGATACCGCTTTCTTGAGCAGTCAGCTGAGCAAGAGTTGCAGTGGTACTCAACAGCTGGCCCTTCAGACTTCATCAGTTCTTCAGCAATAGCCGACTCTGGAAAGAACCCAGAAGACGCAGAAGGAGTAGCTACACTAGACCTCGGAAGAACTGGGGTCCATGTTTCATCGGATTCGAATCGAAACAGTTTATCAACCAAAGAATCTGTCTTTGCTGCCTCGTCCCCATCAATATCAACATTAACAACCGAACTGGTTTGTGGGAAAGGGTGGTAATTAATTAAACCCCAGTAGTCCAAAAACTCCATCACTTCCTTTTTTACATCCAAATCTCCTGCTGAGAGCTCGGACAAATCATTCAACTCAATTTGAATGTTGGGGTCAGTGTGATACTTTTTCATGATCCAATTCCGTATCTCCATGTATATTTCTGGAGTCCTACTTTGCAACTTCTCATTGAAGAATGACGGCATTGTCTGCTTCTCCAAAGGATGAACCTCTGTCCAAGAGAACCAACCTAAAAATTTTGAAAATGTCAGAGAATATCTGGAGAAGCCCTAATGCTATTAAATTTAAGTAGCAGACTATACATAATTATTTTATTTTAAAAAAAGGAGAGAGCATGTTAGCACCCCTTTAATCTACCAACAGTTACGCATGGAAAATTTAAGGAAATCTGAAAGTAGATTACTTCATGTTATCTATTAATTACGTTTCCTATTTCTTTGTTGCAGTTATTAGCACTAAGGAAGTTATTCCTCCACTTCTCATTTTAGTAGTAGTAGTAAGTTGTTTGTTTATTATTAGGTGGGTGCTTAATACACCAGTGTTGTTTTTGAAGTTATTTGAATTCAATGGAAAGATAAGTAGAAAATTAATCCAGTTTTGAATACTTTAACTAAAGAGATTACAGGTTCTCTCTGAACGAACTAGTAGGAAGAAAACATATGATTTCATCTTGCAACGTCCCATAACTAGATCTATATCAGGGGACCATAAAAACTTGGTATCAGAGAGGGGAGTTAGGGGAGATCTAATCTAGCAACGACGGGCACAATTGTTCACTTTGTTCCGAGAAGAAAGTGCAACCAATTTTAGCAAGAAAAGAAGTCATAAATGCTCGCTTGGATTCACTCACGAAGTATTTAGTGAATTCAAAGGCGGATATTGAAGCAACTGAAAATGGCAGTCACAACTAAGGTTGGAAAGGTAAAACTGTGGCGGCAAGTTTAGGATAAAAAATTAGTGGGGATTTCATCATTCCTAAATATACAAAGTTGGATTTTCCATAATTCTGTGGCCACGAGGACCCCTAGGGATGGCTAAATAGGTGTGAGCATTTCTTTCTTTTTTTAATGACAAGGGAAGCCCGCAGCCGCTACCCTTTGGGTGCGCAAAGAGTAAAACCTCCGCTCATATGCAATAGCTCACAAACCAAAAGAGGTAACCTGCACTAGGCAAGCCCGGTGTGACGAGCTCGACCCATACGGCAAATCCCTTGCTTTTGCTGGCAAAGGGTTTCGAACTTGAGACCTCCAACATAGAAATCCCAACCCCAAACCACTGGACCACCCGAGCATTTCTTTCGACACCAACAAACACCAAAAGAAGAAAAAATTGGACTTGGTTCTTTACATTTGGAAGGAATCGCACAACTTTGTTTTCTTCTACTAGAGAAAGATATGCTTCAATGCTTATGGGATGAGTTCAATGCAACCTTTGTTTTGGACCACCAATTAGAAGTCAAAAGTTGGGAAAATTGGCTAAGCTACGCCAAATTAGATCTGTGGGAGATTATCAAGAAAAGTTTGACCAATTGATTGTACGGGCTGGTACCCTTACACAACGGTAGGAAATTAAAGTTTAATACGCCAGATTTGGCTACAACTTTATGAACACAAGGAACAACCTCTTTATTCACAATTGTTAGATGAATATAGATCAAAAACATCGGATTTCTCACCACAACAACCCGCCAGATTTGTGAAGAAATTGACTAGATCTAAAATGGATGAAAGACAACTTAAGGGACTCTGTTTCAATCAGCGGAAGAAATTATTCTAGATTGATTCCATTGACGATGAGGAATAATTTGTTGAAAAAGAGGGAAATGCTAGTACTTTCCACACTTACTCGAGCACGATTTGAAAGAGGGAGTAATGTTAGCACCCCTTTAAAGAAATATGAAAGTAGATTACTTCAGCATATCTATTAATTAATTGTGTTTTCCTATTTCTTGGTACGCCTTATATTTCAATTTGTTTGGCCTAATTTTCTCTTTAGTCGGATTAAAATTTTTGCCTATTTCTCTTTTTAGCAACTCTTTAGTTCCAACTTTTCATGTGACATGTTTAAAACCACAAGATTAAAGGGTATTTTGGTACATTTGACATATTTTCAGTTTAAGACTACAAGATTCAAAAGTCTTTTTATTTTCTTAAACTCTGTGTCAAGTCAAGATAGGCCAAATAAATTGAATCAAAGGGAGTAGTAGTTATTAGCAATAAGGAAGTTGTTCCTCCACTTTCTCATTTCAATAGTAGTAAGAAATCATTTCCTTGTTATTAGTTGGGTGGCTAATCCACCAGTGTTGTATTTAAAGTTATTTGAATTCAATAGAAAGATAAGTAGAAGCTTAGTTTATGAGTACTTTAACTCAAGAGCTTATACGTTATGTCTTAACGACCCAACACCATAGGTCGAAGGAAGAAAATATTTGATTCATCTTGCAACGTCGCATAACTAGATAAGTATCAGGGAACCATAATAGTGCAATTTCCAGTTTGACCTTTTGACAAATTGGAAAATGTAAAAGTTGCATACTTCCTTTGTCCCAATTTATATGACATTCTTTTTGGGATTGCCTAAATTATTCAATACCATTCCATTATATATATCCCAATTTATATGACACATTCCCTTCAAATTGCCTAAATTGTTCAACACCATTCCATTACACATAACTCCCAATTTATATGACACATTCCTTTTGGGATTGCCTAAATTGTTCGATGTCATTCCATTACATATAACTCCCAATTTATATGACACATTCCTTTCTGGAGTGCCTAAATTGTTCAACACCATTCCATTACATATAACTCACACAACTGTGAAGAATTAAAATTTGATTTTGTTCGAATTCTAGACTATGTCATGATATCAAATCATTACTTTAATATTCTCTTCTACTACTGCTGATAAAGTATTTAAGTCAAATTAACATCTTAAATCCATCCCCAATGAAGCAACATGACATAAAACGACACGGAAGGAGTATTTACTATGTAACTGTAAATGTAAGAACTCACTTTTATTTGTAAAGTAACACTAAATCTATCTCAAAAATATAAATCTTAATCTCAGGTCATTGAATTCCTTGTTTCCAGCTTATCTTCAGCTTATCATAAAAACATTTTTTTAACTTTCCAATTTTACAAAAATCTATTTCTCTAATACTCGCCGCAGCAAGAAAGCATACCAAATTGAGGGTTGAAAGACGACAATTGAAACTCACCAGCATGAGTCGGCACAACGTGAACATTACGATCACGGGATCTAATTGACTCAATTTCAGCTTCAATTTCAGCCTCTAATGCCTCCAAATCCTCCTTCACTTGATTGGACTCTTTGTCAACCTTCACCGCCTCTTCTACACCGACCTCGGCCTTTGGCAGCACCTCCGATTCGATCCTAACACCAAAACCTGACGGAGAAACAGCACTGGCAGCTGCAGCTGCGGCGTTGTTTGGCTGCTGCCGAGCTCTTGTGAGCGGACCATTGTGGATCGGTGGGAAAGGTACTGCTGACTGCTTCTGACGCTTCGACAAAGTTGAGGGAGGAGTCGAACTGGCGCCACTTCCAATGGCGCTTGCTTTTCGTTTGTGGCCACCACCTCTCCGACGCGACGTAGGTGCCTCAGCGGACGGAACGTCAGCCGATGTCATCGGCGTGTCGGCGGCCGGCGGTGGAGTTCCGGCGTCCTTCCGTTTCTCCTCCATTAATTGAGAACTGAAGTACTAGCAACTACGCTTGAATCGTTGTCTTCGAAAAGGATTTATATATTTCAGCCTCAGGGTTGATTCGGTGCGCTGTCGGTACATGTAATTTACAATGGATTTTACTAGCAATTTATTGAATTTTTTTTGGTTTATTTAATAATAATAACTAGTAATATTACCCGCGCTTCGCGCCAAAATTTAATATCACAAAATTTATAAATTAATATTTAAAATCTATCAATCATTAAAACTAAAACACAGTATTATCTTACATACAAGATTACGTAGTAACAAACATTAATAATGTAAAGGAAAATGAAAATTATTTATATCTTATCATTTATCCTTAATAACATAAGCATAAATTATGACTCTAAAAATACATACTAGGATCTGTAACATAAGCAATAGAGTTAGTGAGTCACTCAACAGTAGCAAAGTACACAAATATTTAATTGTGAAGAAGAAGGGGTTCAAAATTTTCGTTGTTTTAAAATGAGAGGAAATCCCACTATTTATAGACAACAAAGAGTAGTGTGAACAAATGTTTATTGTGCCTTATCGGAAAGGTTACAACTTTTTGGGAAAGTTGCAACCCTTCGGAAAGGTCACAACCTTTTATAAAATTCACAACTTTTCATAAAAGTCACAACTCTTCATTAGAGTCGCAACTTTTCATAAAAGTCACAACTCTTCATTAAAGTCGCAACAATTTTTCATAAAAATCGCAATTTTTCATAAATGTCACAATTTTTCATAAAAGGAGAAGGCTAGTTTTGTAAATAAATAAATTAAAAGGGAATTCTTGTTTGTGATGGCGCCATATAAGCGGGCCTAAGGTTCTCTTTTATATATATGATATGATTTATTGAAATTGAGTTAGTTAATGGTGTTATATTTTAACTAACTGCTATCAGCATCAAAGGGGGTTTCGATTAGGGTGTGCAACGGTCCCTTCGATTTGATTTTATGTATTATTAATTCAGTTTTCGATTTTTAAACTTTTTAAACCAAGTACAAATCAACAAGATATGTTTTATCAATTTTTAGTCGTTAACGTTTCTGTTTTTAGCTTACCCAATAAGAAAATGCTCATAAAAAAATATGACTTATCATTTTTCTAATAATTTGGTGCGCTACAGTGAAACAAGCAAATTAGTTGTAATTGATTTGATACAGTGAAAACAAGAAAGATAATATTTAATTATGTAGATTGTAGTATAGAGTATTGATATAGTGTCTAGTTATGTAAAATTATTCGTAATTAATATTTATGAAGGGTAAATAAGTAAATAACTACCGTCTTAATAGGTTATCAATTTACCCAATAATACAATACTAAAAATCGAAATCAAATAATAACCCAATAATTTTTTTATAAAATCATTAAAAACTCACTAATCCAATAGCAATAACCCAATAATATTTAGTTTATTGATCGGTTCGATTTTTACACGCGTCTAGTTTCGGTTAACCAATGGAGACTAGGTGTAAGAACAAGTTGATCTCGTATAAATTATTTACAATTTTGATATTAATAAATTTTGATCTAGTTTTAAATTTAATTCCTCTATAAGCTGATAAATTCATAAATTAAAGTCTTCTTACAGAGGTGATTAATGAGGAAATGAAACAAGCCATTTTTTATATGCATCCTTAAAAGTTTTCGGAGTAAATAAATTGACACATTTTTTCAAAACTATTGAAATATTCTTTCTATTGATATTATTATTGTCATTAAAAGCTTTTCTCATTCAGAGGGTCTCTTGCCCTTCTGAAATCACACGTTTATTATTTTAATTTGCAAAAGCGAAGATTCATAGTAGTATTATTAGTAGTCAAACGAATCAATTTGTAAACTGCAATTTATTATAGAATCATCACTAACATATTATAGCTAGAATTTAAAAGGTATACAAATGAAATAATATCTCCTTACCAATCTGTCTTTATAGGTTAGTAGATAAATTATTGAGAATATTGTTATAGCTAGTATTATATCTCTATGTTCTTAATATTTTAATCATAATTTATACAGGTGCGTAGTATTTGTTGAAATTTGATTACTAGTAATATTTTCATATATTTTTTATGTGCTTCAGTGTTCCTCTTATATAGTTTTCTTTCTAGTAGTGAAATTAAAATAAAATAATAAAACATTACGGCCATGAAACTTCCACAATTGATTTATCATCGTAAAGTTTAAAGTTTACACAATAAAATTGCAACTCAGAAGTGTGGATTGATCGATGCGTATATGTTTTGAAAAAAGTTCTTGCTTGTGAAAAATCTTTTACTACATTTCGTAAATGGATATTATTATTATTTCCTAAAATAAAGGGAAAACTAAGCAAATACCCCATAAAAGCAAAATAATAACAAACACATATCCATTTACATTCTTGCCTCACTAAATTATTACACTATATACCCTCCCCCCAAACTAATTTCGCTTAACTAATATTAAAGTCGTATCATACACTGTATTGATATCATTAAGGCTGATAATTTCGATTAATTGATACTAAATTAGTATATATATATATAAATTTGTACTGCTATAATTAAGGTTTATTGTTCAGAAATTACTCATTAGTTAATGATACTATAAGAGTGTATATATATATATACACTCTTATAGTATCATTAACTAATGAGTAATTTCTGAACAATAAACCTTAATGATAACACAACAATACATATATTCTTATAATATCATTGACTAATGAGTAATTTATGTACAAGAAACATTAATGATACCACAACAATATACATATACTCTTATAGTATTATTGACTAATGAGTAATTTTCGAACAAGAACCTTAATGATACCAATACGATATATAAATATATATATACTGATTTAGTATCAGTTAAGCGAATTTATCAGCCTTAAGATATCAATATAATGTCTGATACTCATTTAGTATCAGTTAAACAAAAATTATCAGGCTTAATGAATAGGGGGTATGGGCTATAATATTATTTTTTTTGAGAGAATAGGTATTGCTGAATTATATTGAATTAGGGTATGAACATGTAATCATTTTGAGTTTTATGATCCATTTAGATAGTTTTTCCTAAAATGAATGGTGGCCCAAAAATAAGTATTTGTGCTTTAGGCCCAAAACAGAAGAGAATAATGAAGGCCAAACCCAATTCGTTAAGCCCATCACGAGAAAAGAATTATTTTTAGGGAAAATTTTCAAAATGTCAATATTTTAGCATTTAATAGGACTCCTTAGCCACACTTTCAATATTTATTAATTTCGATTTCTGTTTAACCAATAAGAAAATGCACATAAAATAATCATATTACTTCTCCAACAATTTGGCGCGACTTTACAAAAGTGCAACACAAATAAAAGAACTAGGACAGTAATGTGAATTGAAAGCTAAAAGACAAAAGTAGTAACCATAAGGTATTGATGTTACTATTTATGTATGAGTAGAGTACTAAATTACTATTGTCTTTTGTCTTAATGGGTTATCGATTTACTCAATAATTCAATATTGAAAAAATCAAAGATTGAACCAATAACCAAATAATTTTTTTAATAAAATCATTAAAAACCCATTAACCCAATAACACTTCTATCAGTACGGTTTATTGGTTGATTCAACTTTTGCACAGCGGGGGTCATTTTACATCTCTGCTATTTCGGGCTAACCCTTCATGCATATGTTGAGGCAAATGTATATGTCCCTCTCTAACGCGATTCGCGATATATATGGTTTAGAGTAAAATAATTATTTCTTAATTATTTATATTTGCATGCATGATATGTTCTTCATTGGACAATCTTGATAATTGATTATGACATTATTCAGGAATTTGCTAATACGGTACGGACTACATTAAATTGTCACTTGCCACAACATCCATCTAAGAATAGACTAAAGTATGCAAGTGACTGCATTATTTCCAATCAGATCAATAAACAGTGCCATCTTGATTGTCCAAATATTTCCATTATTCAATTTATTTATTTATTTTTGTGTGTGGGGGTAGGGTGTGCATCAGTCAGTTTAATTTTATATTTTATTGGTTTTCAATTTATAAATACACTACATTAATAAGATATTTTTTATCGGTTGTTGATCCTTAATATTTCGATTTCTGTTTAACCAATAAGAAAATGCACATAAAATAATCATATTACTTCTCCAACAATTTGGCGCGACTTTACAAAAGTGCAACACAAATAAAAGAACTAGGACAGTAATGTGAATTGAAAGCTAAAAGACAAAAGTAGTAACCATAAGGTATTGATGTTACTATTTATGTATGAGTAGAGTACTAAATTACTATTGTCTTTTGTCTTAATGGGTTATCGATTTACTCAATAATTCAATATTGAAAAAATCAAAGATTGAACCAATAACCAAATAATTTTTTTAATAAAATCATTAAAAACCCATTAACCCAATAACACTTCTATCAGTACGGTTTATTGGTTGATTCAACTTTTGCACAGCGGGGGTCATTTTACATCTCTGCTATTTCGGGCTAACCCTTCATGCATATGTTGAGGCAAATGTATATGTCCCTCTCTAACGCGATTCGCGATATATATGGTTTAGAGTAAAATAATTATTTCTTAATTATTTATATTTGCATGCATGATATGTTCTTCATTGGACAATCTTGATAATTGATTATGACATTATTCAGGAATTTGCTAATACGGTACGGACTACATTAAATTGTCACTTGCCACAACATCCATCTAAGAATAGACTAAAGTATGCAAGTGACTGCATTATTTCCAATCAGATCAATAAACAGTGCCATCTTGATTGTCCAAATATTTCCATTATTCAATTTATTTATTTATTTTTGTGTGTGGGGGTAGGGTGTGCATCAGTCAGTTTAATTTTATATTTTATTGGTTTTCAATTTATAAATACACTACATTAATAAGATATTTTTTATCGGTTGTTGATCCTTAATATTTCGATTTCTGTTTAACCAATAAGAAAATGCACATAAAATAATCATATTACTTCTCCAACAATTTGGCGCGACTTTACAAAAGTG